ATTATTATTATATAAACTCACTATCACGCGCAGCACATGTTGAGCAGTTTACTTCTGTACCGGCCGAGTATCGTTTTACGGCGCGGTGTCGAGTTTCGTGCCAGTTGCGTTTGATCCTGTGTGAGAGATGCGAGGAAGGTCTTTTGCTCTCTCTCTCGCTATATTTGCTGAGAACGACGATGCTCTCGTTCGCCGCGACTAATTGCTGCATCTGGCCTTCAATTAGAACTGCCCAACCTGCACCCTAATCCGAGTAAAAGCCATTCTCTTTCCGGCAAAGAATGAGCAACAGCAAAAAAAAAAATCAACCGCAAAAGCAACACTCGATGCACTCAAAGTCCGAATCTGTAAAGTTCACTTCCGCTCGGATTTTCACGTCAATCAAAACCTGCACCCCAAGAGGATAATCCGCGAAGAGTAAACAGATTTTTACATCAAGTCCATTTAAGACGGCTTTTTTTTTAATAGAATTTATCAAATTTCCTGATTATGCAAATTTATAGAGCAAATTAGGAAATAATTATTATAGACGAAATTTAATTTTTACATTGATTGAAACATAAATTTTCATGGTGTTTTGAGTTGAATTTGTTAAATAATTTTATATTATTAGAAACAATTATTCATTTTTCATACTTTTATTGAAATTTTCTTCTCTCAGCTATAATTTTTTTTTTCATTTCAAAGAAAGATCAGTGCTCAGAACAAAAACTTCAACCAAGGCTCGCTGCGGCCAATGGGATCTTTTTGATCTCGGAAGCTTTAGCAGTGGTGGTGCCGTTTTGTTTTCAACAATTGAATATAAACAATGGGATGAGATGAAACAATTTGGACAAGTAAGCAACAATAATTTCTTTTGTAAAAACCTTCAATCTGAAGAATATTTTCTTTTTTTCTTCAGCAATAAGACCGTTTGGAAAAGTAAATGTATAGATCATTCGTTTCCCTCACCTCAATTCCCCTCACAATAATTATTTACATTAAGAAACAAAAATTTTTTTTTATAACTATTTTGATTTGACACATAACCAATATCAAAACTTTTTCAGAATTTTGGCTTTTGGCTATACATCTAGTGGGAGAGTGAATAAAGAATAAACGGTAGTTGTTCCTGTGATACAAGATAATTTTTTACAATCTTAATCTTCTTTAAATTGAAGCTGAAAGAAATATAAATTCATTTGAAAAAATGGTTTATAATTTTATTGCAGCTTAATCTCTATTCTGTTCTTTAATTTAATACAAGTGTAATCTATATTTAACAACAATAAAAATGAAATTAAATAATAATGATAAAAATTTAAAAAAAATTATAAAAAATAAAGTTAAATGAGTTAAAAATTTTTTTTAATAATAAACATATATAATAAAACTTTTATAATTACAGTATTACTATTATGCACTAAATTTTTTTCCTTTATTACATTTAAAAAGAAATGAAATCCAAATTATTAACCAATCATTTTAATTTGAAATCTAAATTAATGTTTTATTTGTGTTAAGGTCACTTAATTTTTTTTTACCCTTAATTCATCCATTCTCAATCTAAATTATTTTTTCAACAATAAAATATATAAAATTTAAAACAGGGTATTTAAAAAAAATCCACCTCAAGTGTTAGATTTCAATAAAAATGAAATTAAGATAATCATGAAGGTTTGTAAAATCAGATTCAAACTTGATATTGACAGAAACCAGTCATAAGCGATTAATTAATTAGTACTGAGACTAATCGCCTTGACGTGGAAATTTAAATTTCTGTTTTTAATTTTTTATGATATTGTTAACTGTTTGCCAACTAACCGTTTCATGAACGCAATGTATTAACGAAAAAAAATTGTTATTTATTAAAGGGTTCTAGTTTACTTTTGAAATTCCTCTGCGGTCACGAAACCAAAACCTATATTGGTACATGTATATATTTACAAAACTCAAAAGAGCTCTCGTCACTCCTTTTCATCTCTTTTGATCGAGCCATCTCATTATATTATACTTTATATTATTTTGATCTGCTTGGTTTAGTTGCGGTGTGGATGTTCGGGCGCGCAAGAACGAGCGGCAATTTAATGCTTGAATTGTTAATCGTTGCATTGATTATGATTGGCACATGTTATTGTTACAAATGAAGGAAACGTCACTCAATAGGCCCACGTGAAACACGATCTGATCCTTTCTGTCTCTCGCTCGCTCGCTCGCTCGCTCGCCAGCCCTACGAATGGACGGACCGACGGCGCTCCCATTCACCGTTTTATTTTCAATTTCTCATCGGCGCGGCCATTATTCTCTCTACACCACTTGCATTATTCATTCGTTGGCACACATACACGTACATAATACCACTCACGTGATGATCCGAGTAAAAGACCGGCCGACGCGGTGACCACTAAATAAAGCAATCGGTCGGTCACAATGGACGCGTATGCAGACTTCCTCCCATGAGCAGGGAAGTAACTGGAGATTTTTTTTCGCTCCAGCGTTCGTTTATTGCGTCTTGAATGGGAAACCGCGGAGATTTGTGCTGTGTGACCCGCGACGACAAAATAATAATATCAAATATATAAGTAATGTGCGGTCATGGGACTCCCTGCCTATGTTCAAACGGCAGCCCTGTGGTGTTCGGTTTCCTTAAAAGCAAAAGCTATAATGGAATGTCGATCGAATGTATAAGATTGAAAAAACATGTTAAACATGCATCAATTCAACATTTTTAAAATTTCAGTTAAATATTGTATTATTATTGAGCGAGGAGCGAGGAATAAATTTTAAATCCAAAAATTAAGTTCTGGATCTGAATAATTTTCCATCAAACATTTTTACCTAAAGAGCTGTTTTTAGATGAGTCGTCCCAATTTAAATGAAATTTGCTGAAAATTGGTGGGACAATTCAGTATTAAATTTATTTCTTCAAATTTTGCCAACATAAAACCTATGTAATTTAAGATGCGTTGGAAATTGTTAAGTATAAACAAAATATTTGAGCAGAGGACGGCTTTTGTTGCCTACATTTAATGGTTTTTCAATGTAAACTCTGCAAAAATATCCCTAAGGATATGCAAGTTGCATACAAATTTTCTTCAAAATTATCGTGTATCATTTAAAAAGCATATCTTGTGAGCAAATATTAAATTTAATAAATCGTCAAAATCATATTTTAATTTAATTTCAAGACACATCAAATATTCTAAATTTTAGCACTGCCTTTTATTTAAATGGATATTTTATATCAGCGAGCACATCAATCAAAATATTTTGTTTTAAAAAACATGATGAAAATGATAACAAATGAGCTTTTTTAAGATTTACTTTCTAACTCAAAATGCGTGTATTTTTTTAATTTATTTAAGGTTAAAAAAAAGAATTAGAAAATAGTACTTCTCACTTTATAAATAGTTGTCCTTGCAATATGCAAAATACACCTTTTTATACAGGATTTTTATTAAGAATTTCCTTGATACGGAACAGTGACGTGCGTGCTGCGGATAACTCTTTTCAGTCGGGCTCGACATCACAATACAGCTCAATTAGATTCATGGAAATTCCAGCTCCGAAAAGCGTACACAAATGTATTTACATCTTGACACGTCTGACTGCTACACAATAATGCAAGGCTAGCGGCGAATGAATCTCTCGCATCGATTCATATATACATTTTTTTTTCAGCATCACATTTATTCATTCTTTCTTTTTTGTGTGAACACATTTTCGAGAGCCGCGCGCGCATTCGAGCGATGTTATGAAAATAATTGCGCGCCATCGCGATGGGATCTCATTAGTAGCGCGGATTCAAAAGCTCCCGATGATATCCTTGTTAAAATAAACTCACGGGCGTATGCATGGGTTCCTTTTGTCCGAATTCAATGCGCGCACGGAAGCCTCGCTCAATGCAGGGGATCCCCCACCCTGGACCCAGCGAGAAAAGGCATCTCTCTCTCGAAATAGAGAATAAGAAAAAGATCCACGAAGCAAGATTTTCCGCGGCAGCTGCAGTCCAGCCACCACTCGCGCACTCTAACACCGTTTTAATTATCGGCCCTCGATCTGAAAAACGCGCTGCACCTTTGCTTCTGCAGCTCCTCCAAATAGAGATCTTGTCAAAATATTTCAATTAGCGCCCGTCGCTTTTAAAAGGCTTCAAATTATCTACCTAGATGGGGTTCTCATTACATGACAGCATGTAAAACTAAATATCATTTCAGAAAATTACAGCAGTAGGAAGGTGTAAAAAAAAAAGCACAAAAAACAAATACTTTAATTCAATTCTTGTAATAAATATATTGTTTTTTTTTAAACTTTTTAAAAAAATTTGTTAAAAAGTAAGCATAAAAAATTATTTCTTTTTAAATACAATAAAATATTAATTAAAATTATATTAATATTTATATTTAAAATTATTAGTTTTTTTATATTAATTGATTTTTTAATTATGATATTAAAAAAAAGAATAAAATTTTACAATTCATTTACTTCTTTTGGGGGCAAGGATTTTTAATTTAATTATGTTAATAAAGAGGTCTGACTTTTCCTCATCGATAAAATTGTTTGTATTCAAAAATGTTACAATGTGGTATTTCTTTAATTATGCTGATTTTTTGTATATTTCTTGCTCATGAGGGTCGCAGACTGTGACCGAAACTGGAAGAGCCCGTTTCTTTTTTTTTTATTTAACAATTATGGCAATGAGGAAAGCCCGATCTCTTCATTTCCATGATCGTATCCTCGAGTTTCAATTATCATCAAAAAACTTTCCACATGGTAAAATTAAACTCAAGAATAGTGAAATCCAAGAATTTCATAAATAATTGAGGAAATATTCAAACATAATATTGCTATTTTAATTTTGTTTGATATTTTATCAACTTTTTTTATACTATAAACACAAAAATATGGCAAAAAATATTATCCGCACCGTTTTCATTCTGTTTTACCAACTGAAAAAAGAAATAATGAAACCATTCGTCATGAAATTTAACTAAATTTTGTTCCCTTTTTGTGTGTTTCAGGTTGCAAAACCGTGGCGGAAGTGGTGAGGCGTCGACGTCGTCGTCGTCGGGCGGCGCCGGCTCGTCCAAGCGGGACATCGACATTCTGGCCAACAGCGACTCGAACAGCTCGGACTCGTGTCTCAGCATCGGCACCGACGAGGAGACGCACAAGTTGGTGTACCCGGTGCCGAGGAGCGGCGGCCTCCTCGGCCTGCCGCCGGTCTCGATGGCCGGCTCTAGTCTCGGCCTCTTGCCCATGTTGCCGCTCACCTCCCTGCGGCCGCCCATCATGACGGCGCCCCTCGCCGGCCTCCACCGACCCTTCACGCCGCCCCACGACCTCTCGTAAGAAAAAATGCAAAGCAAAACTCTTAATTATGAAGTCATAGAAAAATCAAGTTTCTTTTCCACAACTTGTGCTACTCTTGTGTCGGATAATGTGCAATAAATTGAGAAAAAGAGGACCTGATGAAGAGCCGAGTGAAATTTCGTGAATTTTATTATTTAGCTGCGCAACTTGTTGAGGAGAAGAATTTTAAAAAGAGTAGATTTCGCTGAAAATTTTCCAAAAATCCTATTCAAGTTTCTTTTTTAAAAGATTCAATTTAAAAATTCTAAGCACTGGTCAACTTTCCAGCACATTTTGAATATGAGAATAAATTTATTTATTTTTTTGGCCAGATGCATTTTACCAGAAAATTTTTGGTGTTGTTTTTAGTGGTATCTTGTATGATAATCGAGCATGCTGAAACTAATTTTTCTATATGTGATACCTTCGAGGAAGCATCGTGTATTTTAGTAGCAATTTAATTTATCATGTTGGTGCACAAAAAAATATTGCCGTTAGCTGCTAATTATCTTTCACAATGAAACAGCAAATTTTTTTCTCTGCTATGCTTTATTTGAAACAACTACAAATATACACATGAAATAATAAAATACAAAAGCACTCTTGTAAGTGCATCACATGACATTTGAAAATAATTGTGCGAAATTACATTTAGAAAGTGAGCAGAGGTGAAAACCTTTCCAATTCACCGGCCGGCGAACAATGAACGCGGTTATTATTATTTGCAGATTTCTTTGTGATGCTCCGTGCGGATGTGAGAAGCAGGTAATTTCCGATTGTAAAAAATAATTGAATTAATAATATACCAACTCAATAGAATTATGCAAAACGTCAGCTGATTGTAATTAAATTAAATGTCGTCAAATATACTACCCCGTGTAAATTATTATAGATTTTTTTTGTGAATGTAAATAAGACGAATATTAACTATTGTGTAAATCGCTGTTATTTCAATGCATAATCGATTATTTGATGTCCGCGAGAGAAGTTTATTAGGTTCTGCTGTCAAATATGAGGAATTTTTGGTATTACAAAAACTATTGCACAAAGGAAGAAACGTCATCTGTGAAATAAAACGCATTTACCACTATAAACATGACAATTACGAAAAACGAAAATAAAGGACTCTATGAAACGAAAATTTGTTTTGATTTCATTTGTGGCGAGCGAATAATCCAAAACACGGAGAGTGCGGTACAGGATGCAAATGCCAAACAAAGCAGATTAAACGCGCGCAAACAAAGAGGATTTGCGCTTGGATTTTGCTCCCTGCGGAGGCGAGAAAGGCGAAGGGAGCCGAAAATCCGCACTGGCTAAAAGTCGCTTGCAGATCAAGTAAGCTGAGAATCCGGCATGCTGAACAAACCTAAGCAAGCAAAATAACCTCTGCGCTGGGTGGGAGGGCCTGCAGCTTTTTGAAAGCAAAGCTGAACTTGAACCCTTGCTCTGTGCGGAAAAAATAACAAGGGAGTGGAGTAAAATAACAAAGGATTTGCCTCATTACATTATGTACGCGCTTGCACAAATCACAAAATGAAAAATAAAATGAGCAGAACTGATGTTGACAATAGGATCTTTAGTTAATAACTGCGTTTCAAATTCAGGTTAATTTTTATCTATTAACTATACAGTTTGCAATTTTCAAGTTTGATTTTTCCATAATTATCTTCTTGTTATATCAAACTCAATTAGCAAATGCATGCAAGAAATAATATTGTAAAAGTGTAATTAATCCAAAAATATTTTTATTGTTCAGATAAATCTCAATCGCAGTTTGATTATTTAATTTTGCAAAACAAGTACACATATTATAAAGTCATTTTAGAGAAATATAATTTTTTTATCAGAGTAAATAAAATCTCAACTTGCGCGCATTTTAATATGTCGCATACTTTGAATTTCCTAATTTAAAAAAAATGAAATTCTCAACATTTTTGGCAAATTTTGCATTGTACGTGCTAAATTTTAAGTTATGATCAAGATAGATAGACTTTATATAATGTCTATTGTTGTTTTCACATATTGGGTATTAGCATATTTAATTTGAGTCTAATAATATTTTCTAATTATTTACAATTTTTCTTATTTAAGGCTCCTTATTAATATAGTCAAATCAAGTCTTTGCAACAATAGCAGCAATTTTTGGCAATTATTGTAAATTTAATAAACCACTGTTGTACAGACTTGATTTGACTATATCAATAAGAAGTCCTTAAACTAAAAATGAAGAATTTGGGAATAAAAAAAAATATATTAAATAAATATACAATGCAAATTTAATAAATGAATTAATATTTTACTAGCAAAATATTATTTTTGCCTAAATTATTTTTTAACTTTTTATTATTATTTATTATTTTATTTTTATAATAAAATAACCGGCGTTTTAGTGATTTTTGAACTTTGTTTCTTACGTTTGTTGCAACTTCTATTATTAAAAATAAAGAATTTTAAATCGCAAATTAAATTTAATCAATAGTAAATCACTGATGTTTATTAGTTTCCAACAGAAAATTGCTTGCGCCCGAATCCTGATGCCTTGCACAATGTTTTTTTTATTTATTTCTATTAAATAATATTTTCCAATGATTCATGAACTTTGTTGCAATAAGAAGCAAACCGCTGTAGCCATTAGCTTTGCATTTATACTTAGTATTTGCGTGGAAAATAAATGGAGCTGCAGCTCATACGTGCCACATTACATAGGGCACCTCATTCTCTCTTCTCTCACTTAGAGCTGCTGTGGCAGGGCTGTTAAAAGCTGCTTAGGATTAGCAGTCGGGAATAAGAGAGGCTGCAAGTGAGGAGGCTTTCCGGACTTTCTGACAAGTTTTTGACACTAATCCTCGCCACCGCGAGGTACAGCACTTGCCAAAATCGCGCTCCCATTATCACTTACTTATTTACGCTCCCAGCTGCGGTTGTGTTAGTTCCTCTCGCTCCCTGTAACAACAATAATATTATACACACCAACAGAAAGATATAGACTCGGCGACACACAAAGCGGCGCAAATGACACGCACCGGAATGTGGATCGGATTTGGGGATTTCGATACCGGATTAGGCGATTATTCGAAAGGCCCAGAGCGACAGACGCGCGCTAATTGCAAAACAACCGGAAACAGCAATGGCCGCAATCCTTTTTCCAGTCTGCCATAATAATTTCGATTATATTATTTGTCCAGACCCCTGCAGCACTTTGAAACGCAGCCCACCGGAACAGCTGTGACAGGCAAATTGCCTAATTTACACAAACTATATAATTCATCGCGGTTCCGCTTCTGTGGAGTAATAATGGCGCGTCACAAAGTTTACGCTCCTTCAATATTTGTTTTAGCTCCAAAACTTGCAGATAATTTTTTATATAGTTGAAGTTCCTTCTTCAAAGTAAACCCAATTTTTAAATCAAATTATTTATTAAAAAAATATGTTTAGTTTAGTTTTTATCTTTTATTTATCATTTTATTAATTTCCTTTCTTATTATGAAATTTTGACATTTTAATTTGTTTTCCGAGCATTGGTTTTCTCGCTCAGTTTTCTGAATCCACAGTAAAATTCTTTTGAAAAATTTATTCAAAAAAATTGTGCGTAGGAGTGGTTTTTGCATTTTATATAGATTTTGTACTTTTTTGGTGATGGTTCAGTCTTAAGCAACTAATAAATTATTAATTAACAATGACCCAACGACCACAGAGCAATAAAAAGTGACCCCTTTTCCAAAAAAGATCAGTTTGCAATAATTTTTCACTTACAGCTCTTCACTCTTAATTTAATTAATTTATATTTAAACTATATTTAAATTATACACAATCGCAATGTTTGCAAAAAGACGTGCTTTTTATAGATGAGCTTATAAATTGTGTTTTTTTTTTCACTTCAAAATAAGCTGGCAATATTTATTAGTAAACTCCCATTAATTTGAGAAAATATTTATTCAATCCTCCTTTGTGCTTTTTGACTGTTTGATTAGGATATTTTAGGTCATAATATTTTCCTTTGCCTGCTTTGGTACATGTTTTTCTCCATCTTTATTTCTTCTTATTCAAATGTAGATTAATTTTTTAAATTTTTTATGCACAAAACATACATAAAAATGTCAATTTTGTAACCCAGATAAATAAAAATGTACTTCTTCCTGTCTACTATATAAACTTTCTTCTTCTGATAAAATCTCTAAACCCCCACTTGCACATTGGAGCACATTTTCACACCTTTGATTTTTATTTTATACAGGAGGGCATAATATATTGGGACGCGTCAGAGCGTGCTGAAATTTGTCTTGGGGCCCATTGTGGCCTCCTGATGCCTACTTAAGCCGCACGTCGGGAACGATACACGACGATCTCCTGTGGCTCTTTTCCAACTTTTCTCGAGCGGATCTCGCTAAGAGTGCTTTAATGAGCGCGTCGCGACCAAATCCCCGAAAAATACACACATCGCGATACACAAAGCGCAGGGCAACAAAGTGCGCGCGATATCTGATCGGTGTGCGGCTGCCATTACGGCCCGATACCTGCGTCTATTGCTCTCTCCATTGTGGCCTGTTTACTCACACGCAGCGGCCGCGAGAGGATAATCCGGCCCGAGAATTCCTGCGTGCAGCCCTCAACGCCTCTATTGTCAAGGCAGCCATGGATACACACAAATGCAAGCGAAATATGCATAAACAAACTGTATTCATTTCTTGGAAATGCACCAGGAATCTGGAAAATCTGCTATACGTGAAAGCACGGATTCTTAACAAACTTGCCAGGTGCAGAACCATTGTTGCCCCCAAAACGCAGGAAAGTTTTTTTTACTTAAAACTTTCAAAACTAATTAATTTGTTAAATAAAATAAAATTTTAATTCAACCGATTGAAGAAGATAATTGACAACTTTTGTATTTTGATTTAGAAAAACGGTCGATGAATACGTTTTTTTTACGTTGGTGGATTTTACTGCAATTTTAAATTTTCCTTTTAGAATTCTTCTATTCTGGTTGTTAATGGAAATGAATACAAAAAAATCTGTATTAAAATGTAATTAAAAAAAAAACTATTTGAAAAATTTAAAACTTGCAAAGTTTTTTTACTCTTTTTGATAACAATAAATGGGGAAAATTAAAATTATATTTAATTAGAAATATGATTATTTGAAAAATGGTAGCAAATGTTGCTGAATAAATAAAATTGCATGATTGTTAATAGTCTAAATTTATAATTTCTTTCATTTTCAGAATTTTTGAGTAATTTCTATATATTTTTTGCACACAAATAACAAGAAGCTAATGCAACGTATAGGATTTGCATAATGGCAGAAAGCACGAGGAAAATTGAATAAGCCATTGTTTCCCGTCATTAATGGCCTGCTTGCTTTTGCGGCCACAAAGCGGCTGGACAATTGAATTTAGACGGCGGCAAACAATAACAGTAACAACCCCGAGTGCAGTTTAATTCATACCTCTATGCTTTTTGGATTATCATTAATTTGCACGCAGTCGAGAGAAATAAAGAGGCTCTTGCATGTGTTTCGTGCAACGCAAGTCTCTCGAAAAAGTTAACGAGAATGACTCGGCTGATTATCGCTCACGTATTATTCGTTCTCACTAAAATACACACACACGGCTGCAGTTATATCATTTTCATTGTTGTAGCTTCCGTTCTCGCTAACAAGGTCGGTTGGAATCTCCTGCACGTGTAATGGCACTTTTCGCCCAGCCACATTTTTCCGACGCGGCATCGCAGGGATGGGTGCGCGTTTCAGGTGCTCGTCCCCCCATTATCATCGCCCATATAAAACATTACGTTATTTATTTATTATTATTTTTTACACTCTCCATTCTGTATGTATCCGAGCCATTATTCCAGCAGTGCTCTTTATGGTTCGGGGCAGACTATTCGTAAAATGTTATTTTCCCCAAAACGTGAAATATTCGGTATTTTTTTTTTTTTAATAAATTAAATTCCGTTTTTGTAATGTTTTCATCAAAGTTTATTGGAATAACTTGGGGCAAATTATAATAAAATAAACAAACATGTTGGACTGACAAGGAAAAATATATATATTTAAATTTTCTAGAGACGCTAGAGACATTCACGATTGATTCACAGTATTCACAGTCCAAAGTAATGCTT